CTCAACACTTGTCACCTCCTTATCAAGGGGGGACTTTAACTATGGCGACATCGACTGGAGAAACGAGTCCACCCCAAATGACTTGAATAACCCTGCTACTTTTTTGCAGAAATCCTGAGAGATAATTTTCGTTCCAACATGTTAGAGACCCGACATATTACAGAGGGGAGCAACACCAGGCCACTTAGACCTCTTCGCTAACAAACGAGGAGGGTATGGTGCCCAAACTGGAACACCTTGCCCCAGTTGGCACCAGTCACTATATAGTGTTGTCATTCAGATTTAACTGTTACCTAGTTCAAGATAAGGCCAGGCCAAGGTGCAAATATTACAAGGGAAATTACAATGGATGAAGAGATGAGGGGCATTAACTCAATGACTTATTAAGGTACAAGAAGGCAGACACTACGCTGAATATCATAACTAGTAGTGACCCATTTGATCGATAAATATATACCTAAGACCAAACTCAGCGCCGAGGGACATGAGGGGATCCCTACACATGAACCATGCGGCGGTCGACAAATTAAGAAGAAACCCAGAAATTCAAGTCGTGGGTTGGGTCAAACGATGGGCAAGACAGGAGGATGGGCGTAAGAGCCAGAAACCAAGCAAAGATAGAGGTAGGAGGGCTGGAAAAGGAGTTCCAGAGGCTGGTTGCGTTGCGCTGTTTAAACCCAAAGCGCGTTTTTACCGCTATGCAAAGTCGAAAAACTGAAAACGCGAGAAGGAGCATCAGACCTGGAGGCTGGTGGATGGTAGTTACGCAGATTCTGACCAGGATAGCCGAGGCATGAACAGTTTCTTCCTCGATATACAAGAGAGGATGCAACTAACCTCCTGGTGTTTGAGGACAAGACGGTTCGACACAGCACTGACCCACATTGTGGCCACAGAAGAGGGAGATAGAAATAAAAACTGTCCAGGCTAAAGGTTCAAGTAAGAGTCTCGGCCCTGACATAGTGTAATCTTAGAGCAGAGAGTTGTGCAACGAGCTTGCCGGGAGTCCCCTGAAGAGATCCTGTTTTGTAAATGCCTGATGAACAAATGGTCCCAGTGAATGGAAAGTGCATGCAGTGTGAGTCCTATCTTCAAGAAGGGCGATCGTCACTCCACGAACAACTATAGACCGGTGAGCCTGACCAGCATATTGGCGTAAAGTACTTAAGAGTATTATCAGAGATGCCGCAATGGAACATCTACTACGAAACAAATTTTGTAAAGATTACCAACACGGTTTTATGCCAGGCGCCCTGCTTAACACAATTGCTCAGGCATGATATTTGGACCCATATTCTTGATACGGGGTAATACCGACAATATTTACCTAGATTTGCCAAGGCTGGACAGTGTACCCCACGAAAGGCTGAAATCAACCGAAGGTATGAATCTGGGGACATGTCCTAGAGTGGAGGAAGACTTTCTACATAACCGCAAGCAGTAGTGTGGTGATTAATGGCACGAAATCATCATCCGTACCTGTCACAAGGGCAAATTGCTATAGGTCAGTGTATTGGGCCCGCTGTTGTTATTTGTTTCTTATAAAATATATGCCTGATGTTGTACACTCCTCCATACAAATGTTTGCCGATGACGCCAAGTTATTTCGGGAAGGACGTCTGTGGGTTCCAGGAATTGTCGAAGAAATGGCTCCTGAGATTCAATGTCACGAAATGTAAGAGGAGGCACCTGGGGCGTACCAACGGTAAGGAGGCGTATCATATGTCCCAACGGGATGAAGAAACTGCACTAGTTGAGACTGTGTGTGAGAAGGACCTAGGTGTGTATGTTGACAATAAGCTAAAGTTCTCGGGCCATTGCGAGAAGAAGGTAAATCAGGCAAATAAATTATTGGGTCTTATAAGAAGGTCGTTCAGATATCTAGACGGTCCGTCCCTCGGAACGATCTTCAGGAGTGAAGTGCTTCCCCATCTGGAGTACTGTCACCCCATCTGGTCCCCGAGATATGCTAGGGACTGTCAGTTGGTTGAAAATGTTCAAAGGAGGGCCACCAGACTGGTGCGTGCACTTCGGCACCTCAGCTACCCTGAGAGATTGGAGCGGCTGAACTTGCCTAGCTTATACTACAGACGGGCAAGGGGAGACCTAATTGAGGTGTATAAGCATCTGAGGGGGCACTACTCAGCTGAGTGTCCTTACTTGGAGCTGACGGACGCTCGCCCCACAAAGGTCACAGCTCAAGATTGAAGAAGCAGCAAGTCCAGAAAACCGTGAGGGCAAACTTTTTCGGAGTGAAGGTTGTAAACTCTTGGAACAATCTACCAGAGAGTGTTGTGACGGCACCGAGTGTGAGCTCTTTCAAGACAAGACTTGACCAACACTGGAGCGGGTTCAGGTACATTCAGGAGCCGGTGCATGCCCAGTATTTGCCAACAGTGCGTCACAGAGACGTGACCGATCGCCCGGGCGGCTAGGGAGCCGATCTTTTGGTGAAGAAGATAAATGAAAAGGAAAAGTAATGAGAGACGTGACTGATCGCCCAAGCGGCTAACACGCCGATCAGTGGCGAAGAAGATAAAAGTAAAGTAAAAGGAAGGGGTGGGTGTGTGGTGTGGGGCATGAGAGAGAGAGTGTGGGAACATCTATCAACAGAATTCATGCATCAACTCTGGATTCATTAGAAATCGGTGAGTAGCAAGTGTAAAACAGGAGGAGGAAGAAAAGAAGAGAAAAAGAAAAGATGAGAAAAGGAGAAGAGAAAAGAAAAAGAAGAGAAAAAAAGGAAAAGAAGAGGAGATAGAAGGAAGAAGAAAAGACGAGGAGAAATAAAGACGAAAAAGAAGGAGAGGAGGAAGAAAAGAAAAGGCAAATAAAGGAAAAGAAGAGAAAGAGAAAAAGAAGTAGAGAGGAAAGGTTTAGATGTGGTAAACCCAGATATGTTGGGAACATCGGCTGATCGAATATAAACACAGCTGTGAGGGGCGGCGATCACGCGTAGTGCACCAGCAGGTCACTGACCGCTCATCACTCGGGCTGCTTGTTTTTGTTGAAAATTAGTTTTCGTTAGAAATTATTTTATCTGAGAGTGATTTCGCAAATTTCTCTGCTTTGGTGGTAAAAAAAAACGTGAAAATTTGTTACGGAGGATAATTGATTGTTGATTAGTTAGTTTGCGAACTCAATATGTAGATAAAACGGGTCCAACAGTTGAGGCATATCACTTGGCCAACGGAACAAAGTAACACCAATAACAGGGACCAAGTGTGAAAAGGACCTGGGTGTGTAAGTTGACAACGAACCAAAGTTTTCGGACCATTGTGAGAAGAAGGTGAATCAAGCGACTCAGCTTGTGGGTCTTATAAGAAGGTCGTAACGCTCTTCAAAAGTAAAGTGCTTCCCTGTTTATAATATTGTCACCCCGTCTAGTTCCCGAGATATTCTAGAGACTGTCAGTTGCTGAAAAGGAGGGCTACCAGACTGGTGTCTGCACTACGGCGCCTCAAGTTACCCACAAAGACTAGAACAGCGACAACTGCCTAGCTTAGACGAACAAGTGGTGGTATAATAGAAGTCTACAAACACCTCAGAGGACTTTATTTAGTCGAGTGTCCATATATGGAGCTGGCGGATGCCCGACCCACTAGAGGTCACAGCTTACGGTTGAAGAAGCCACAATTTAAAAAAAAAAAAATGTTAGGGCAAACTTTTTCCGAGAGGGTTATGAACTCTTGGGACAATCTGCCGGAGAATGTTGTGACAGCACCTTGTGTGGGCACATTCAAGACCAGACTTGACTAACATTGACGCACGTACAGATACTTCCTGGAACCATTACGTGCCCAGTACTTGCCAGCAGTGCGTAACAGAGACGTAGCCGACCGCCCAAGAGGCTAAGAAGATAAAGTAAAGTAAAAACAATCGACAGGAGGAGTGTAACGGGACCAACAGTAAACAGAAGTCTAAGGGATCCAACAGTAAACAGGAGTCTAAGGGATCCAACAGTAAACAGGAGTCTAAGGGATCCAACAGTCAGTAGAGGAAAAAGTGTTCAAGCTTACTTAAATCTTACGGTGTTTACTATCTTACCACTTCAGTACTTGTGATAAAGGGGTCCCCTTCTTTAACACTAGCGACAGATAAAGTTGGACCAATCAACACTGTCACCCCCAGAGCTCCAACTTAACGCAAAACATACACATAACGACGTCCAGCCTGAGTAATGTTACGTGTGTATTGACTATTTCGCGTGTGGACTGGTGAGAGAGAGAGAGAGAATTTTGTCATCACCGGTGAACACGAGAACCCCCTCCCCCATGGTGTTTACATCATGGGTTTTTTAGATAAGATAATTTCGGTAAGTATATATACGTTATGACCACTACAAGCTGATAACGATTTATCACAGTAACCCATAAGACCGCCGAGTCCATTACACCCTTAAAATTCCACTTTTTTTCCCTCATCTCTCCAGGGAAACAGATTTTAATATTATATATATATGTATTTCTTTTCCTGGCTTACCCTGGCTTTGCTACTGTCAGTTTTACCCATTATCTATCACTATCCCGTCACCTCTTCTTCTATTTGTCACATTATCTCATTTTCCTTATTATCTAAACATTCACTATTTCTCTCCAAATAAATGAAACTAAAAAAACTGAGATGGATGAATACACCAAGTGATAGACAGACAGACAGATAGATAGATAGATAGATAGATAGATAGATAGATAGATAGATAGATAGATAAATAGAATCATATAACTACAGATAGGTAGATAGATAAACAGAAAAACATAGATAAATCAAATTTCATAAACAAATTACATAACCGTATAGGTATAGACAATCACAGACAACTATAAACAAATATTAATAGGCATGTAGTTAGGTAGACAGAGGCAGACAATGATAAACATATTAGGAAGATAGACAGACAGACAAGTAAACAATAAACACGCAGGAAAGTAAACAGGGAAATAAACAATATGGGGTAGAAATGCAAAACATATAGGTTACAACAATATTCCTTCACTTACTTGGTGTACTCCCTCGTGCCCTTGTAGTTCCACAGTGAACGGCGGTACCAGGAGCTAGTCGTCATGTTGGTGGTTCAGTTACGTTACAAATTATTTTCAGGTCAGGGGGAGATGGGGGGAGGGAGGCTTCACGTGACACACCGCGTTGTTCTCGTCTGTTACTGGGGTATCTCCTTTCGTTCTATGTAACCCTGAAACAAAAAAGAAAAGAAAAATACCTTGTTATTATGATTTTGAAATTAAACTTAGTACAACATTAATGGATAACATGTTTTTATCTTACCTTGCTTTCTTATCAGTTGTTGAGTTAATCCCACTGTGAGAAGAGTTATCGAGGGGACTTTAAAGTTATGTTACGTTAGGTACATAAATCAGTCCGAGCTGTGACTTTATCGTGGTACAGTTATAAACTCTTTGAATAACCTGACAGAGAATGTTGTGAAGGCACTAAGTCTAAGCTCAGGTACTGTACATTACATACCATTGTCTTTATCAATGTGGGATATTTAACAAGGACGAAGTGACCGACCGACCGACCGACACACACACACACACACCAACACGTCAAAAACTACCCGGTAAATGAGTTTTGTCGGTCAACTAGTTTCTGCACCTAACCCAACTAATTCTAACAAAGCCAAACTAACCTAACGTGATTGTGTCCAGCTTTACTAAATTCAATGTATATTAATCCTATCATTCCTATACCGTTAATGTACAGCGGTAATATAGTTCTCTCACCACCACCACCACCACCACCACCGTGTCCTGGGTTCGAGTACAGACAAAGACAGACGTGAGAAGGGTATATTATCCTGCGTGACCCAAATCAACATAGCAGTTCCCCCGTATTATCACTAGAAGATAAAATTAATTAAAAGGTAAGAAACTAACAAACCAACCAACCAACCGACCTAAGGTGATAATTGGTGCTATAATAAGTTAATTAGGTAAATCCGTCTTCTGGTAAATATTGTGACATCTTCTCTCCTTTAATGTTATTTTGATGGGCCTTCGGTGAGTGGGTTGTGAGTGGTTGTGGCCATGGTTGTGGTAGAGGAGTAGTAGTAGGGAAACTATGGTACTATTATTGGTGATGATGGTCATACTAAAACATTGAAAGTGGTGGTGGTGACAGAGATGATAAGGGGGTCGATTGCACTGATAACGTGAGATAAAGATACTCAAAGCCAATATGGTGCTGGAGAGAGAGAGAGAGAGAGAGAGAGAGAGCCAATTTCTACCGGGATTACATAGCCTCGAACCATACCCTAGCAAATACATTGTTCAGTTCTTTTACGAAACTTGAGTTCACACAAATCATTCATATATGATATATGTGATTAATATTTAGCGGGTGATTGCCAGGGATTCAGAGTTGGCACGGTAATTATTTTTAGCCTTTGTGTGTGTGTGTGTGTGTGTGTGTGTGTGTGTGTGTGTGTGTGCAGGAGATCCTGAACTCTTACGCAGATGCGTATGCACACTTCGGCCTTGAGGTGAATGCACGTAAGACTCAGATTCTCTTTCAGCCTGCCCCTGGTTCAGCCACACCACTACCCTCTCTAATGTTACCCACTTTCGGTATCTCTGCTCCACCTGTCCATCACTGCGGACATCGATGAAGAGAATCAACATTGGATCAGATGTGCATCTCAAGCCTTTGGCAGACTCCATACCCGTGTCTTCAGCTGTAGGGAGCTGAAATTATCTACGAAGTTGCACGTATATCGAGCAGTGGTCCTCCCCACCCTGCTATATCGCAGCGAGACATGGATCACATACAAGAGGCACCTCAAGTCATTTGAAAACTTTCACCAAGGTAGTCTACGTTCCATCCCCCGAGTTAGTTGGGAAGATAAGAGAACAAATGCCAGTATTCTCGCTGACACCAACTGTCGGAGCATCGAGTCTACCATTATCCACGAACAACTACGTTGGACTGGCCATGTTACCCGCATGGACGACAGTAGACTGCCAAAGCAGCTACTTTACAGTCACCTATCGAATAGTAAACGTAACGCTGGTGGGTAATTGAAAAGGCATGAGGATAATCTAAACACAAACCTGAAAAAGTGTCAAATCGACCCCCTCACCTGGGAGACGATTACTCCACACCGCAACACTTGGAGGAGCACCACACGAGGAGGTGTCAATACTTTCGAATTAACCAGACTGCAAACTGAGGCAGACAAGCGCCAACCACATGTGCAACATCTGTGAACGACTCTGCCAGTCCCGTATTGGCCTCTTTAGTCACCTTAAAACTCACCAACAAAGGTGACATCCTTAACCCTTTCACAGCGGGAGGTTACCCTAAGCTGAATAAAATCGTCTGGCGGTGGCCAGAATAAAATGGCAAGTGCGTGACACGCGGTGAAAGGGTTAATGACTCGTATCATTATATCATAGCTGGATGATCGTCATAATCGATTTCGAGTGACAGCAAAGTAGTAGTGAGCAGATATTGACTATGAGGCTACAGTCACTGAATGCCGCAGATCTGCGGCTCAACTAATTTAACACAGATAGGATAGCTTCTTATATTTAGGATATTTAATATTAAGGTAAATAAATGGTGGCGAAGGTGTGGCTATTGGGGGAGGCTGGAGGCCACGTTTAAAAAAAAAAAAAGTAGTAGTGGTAGTAGTATGTGTGCGTGTGTGAGAGATTTTGCCAAATAACAAGACCTTAGCAACACTGATTGCGTAAAACCCACAATTGCCAATATGAACGCCGTGGTTGACATACCGAGAGAGAGTGTGTGTGTGTGTGTGTGTGTGTTATCTACAATGAATGAAATATCCAGATGTGGTATAGTCTCAAGTCCTCCCTCCCCACTCCTGCTAACCCTCACCCCTAATTTGAGACATCTCGTCATTTAGGACACCAGAAAAAAATTAAGAAAATATCCAGAAATTCTCACTGCGTCTGTCCCGATCTATGTAGGGGAGGGGGCTGTAAGAATTAACCTGTGTGTGTGTGTATATATATATAAAGTGGTTAAAGTGTAAAGTGGTTAACCAAGACCTCTGAATTTGCTCCTATTTTGACCTTTACCTCATTTATTACTTTCTCTTATATGTAGGGACGTGTGGCAAGTGTGTCTACGTGTCATATTTTATCTTGGTTGAGTGGTATTAGTTTATACAGAGAGTAACATTTGACCACCTAATATCTGAGTGGAGGTAAAAAAAAAAGTAAAATACAATAAAAAGGAGCGTATCAGACCAAGGCAGAGCAAGTAGCAAGTTGTACGATAATCAGAATACAGATATGAAGGAGCATCAATTAAGTACAGTACTCTATAAATGTGTTCTATATATATGTCTGTCTCTGGGTTGGTCCCCTACTACTATTTCGGGAACTCGGTAACAAACTCGGTCACTGAGAATTCCTACCAACGAGTTTGCTTCAGTTATATACTGAGGAGTGGCCACACTCATCTCCCGACCCTCCCTACAGCAGCGACAGTGATGACATAACCTAACCCGCACGTCTGGCTCGGTGGCCGGCAGGAACTATACTCATTTAGCAAACAATTTACCAGTATCACAGCCGACTACAGAGTTACGTCATAGCCAGCTACACTATTACATCACTGCCCTTGTGTGATCTAGTGCCTCCAATGGGTGTGGATTTTAGTTTTTTTTTTAGATTGCCCCGGAGGGCTAGTTCATTGGGCACCCTCTCACATCCTGTACAAGGTGAAGCGCAGAAGCGTTAACAGTGGCCATCTGGGAAGCATGCGGAGTTCATGCTTGCCTTTATGACTCATGCATTAAAGGCGTAAAAGCCTGAAGGGTCATGGGTTTTGGCAGCAAGTTGACAGAATGATGAGTGTGTGGGGGGAAATTTCCCGGTGTGGATGTGGATAGATTTAGCACTGCTGGGGACACGGTCAAGTAGTGGCGAGCGAATACCCTTATTTGGGGAGGTATTTGTGTAGCTAATGCTGACACGTGTACAGTCGTCTCTCTCTGCACCTCTTTACCCTATCACTTTGTCTCGCTCTTTTAGTACTTATATACTCCTACCATGATAGAACAAAGTACCTTTATCTTCTTAACAAGTATCACCATCACTCTCATCATTATCTCCTTGTATACTGATCGACTCACTGGCTTGAGTTACACGTTACACACAAACACTACTTATGAACCAACATTATCCTGACGGTGAGTTGTTTTTTTAAGGATCTTGGTTGTACGTGTTAGTGGCGTTTATTAGGTATCTCAGTGTTTATGTTTATCTCAGGCGCAGTGTGTGTGTGTGTGTGTGTGTGTGTGTGTCATGTTCTCCTTGTCCGTCTCAATCTTTATGTCTTCTTTTGTCTTTCATACTGTGTAGTGAGGTAATTTAATGAATACTAAAATTAATGGTCTATTTTAGTTATATAGAATAGGAGAAAACACAAAAGTCATTCTTCCATCTTCCCACGACACCATTTTCAGGGGGCAGAGAGAGAGAGAGAGAGAGAGAGAGAGAGATCAGCAACTACAGAAAAAAATAACAAAAATGATAATGGAAAGGACAAATGGAAGACAAATCTAACCTATTGTAACTTAAAACATGGATAAGACACACACACACACACACACACACACACACACACACACACACACATAAGAGTCTTTATTACTCATAAACCATTTCTGGAATCATAATTATAAATTAAACTAAAACTTCCAACATAATCAAAGCTCATCCTTCTCCCCTTTTTATCTATACAAGTAACATTTGCTCAGAAATTTGTCAAAACGGCTGAAACAGATATGAGTCCCACTAATGCAATTATTTTCTAAATATAACTTGTTAATTACTTTACTAAAATGTACCATTTAACCTAAATTACTCTCAGACACTCCTTTTGTACATTTTAATTATTTGTAAGATTGTCTATATAACAAAGTCATACTCTCAGATATTTATACTTGGAAGAAATATATCAACACAATGTTATATTAAGAAAATCAATAATGTCAGACGCTCCTTTTCTACTAGATCTTAAGGAGAAGTATTATTTATCATAGTCTCTAATCTCATATGATCCGTTTTCTGTTCGTTTGTTGACATGAGTCACGCCGTCCCCAGAATCTCTTTTAGTTGGTATTTGTTCCCCAGGATTATTTTGTTCCCTTGACAATCAATAATTTGCTGAAGGAATATCCTTCCTTCCTTAGGCTTTAGT